GGCGAACAAACAAAATTTAACTTCAGTAATTGGACACACATAAGTTCACTTATCATAGTGGAACTTTTATGCTAACTCATAACATTGGCTGTTTGTTTTATCAAAATTAGATACTGACCAGAAGTAAAGAAATCGCATGATATAGCATCACACAACCATCAACGAAGACAACCCGCGACAATAGAAAAATTTTATATCATTCAAATGAGTGGAACACACTACCAAGCCAAAAAATGAAGGAATAAATGAAAATGCCGATGATGTTTAACAGGTTATACCTCTCTTCAAGTGTAATGTCTTTCATCCTTGGCGTACTCACATTTTTATTCGTTTTCTTTTCTCTTTCGTTTTCTCTTCTCTTTTCTATGCCCTTTTGTTTCTTTGTCATTTCCCTTTCTTTCCCTTCGCTCGTCCTTTCTGTTCAGCTATATCGCTGCAATATCAGTATTCTTGCTTAGTGGTTTTAGCTTCATAGCTTCTTATTGTTTAGCAGTTTCATGTCTGGCATCGCACAAACAAGTCACCTAAAAGAGACTGTGTGGAGCTTCCGAGCGGAACAACCTGCCATTTAAATAAAGATTGTAAACAAAAAAAAATTAATTAATCATTGTATGTAAGTCAAGTTAGCACCTGATTCGAGTGTTCTTTAAATTAATTCGCCTATTCAATTGTGCCATGTATGAATTTTTGTGTGCCATATAGAGCTTGACAAACTCTATAATATCGTAAATTTGGAATTTTAGTCATGATCAAAAACAACAAAAGGCAAATCAAACTATAATTTTGTATTACAGGAAACAATACTAAAATCCAGAATTTTCTAAAACTATTCGATTCAGAGCTCGTGCCACTTTTCAAATTTATATGGTTCGACGAATCTCGATGTTCTGCATCCGATGGTATCCATAAAACTCTAATCAAACGAATTCGTCAGACTCTCAAGCTGCGAAAACGTAAAAAAAACACTATTTTATGATATAATTCCCGTAATTATTCGTTCAATAACCTATGTCAGATTGCGAAACCGATTCTATTCGATTCATGTTGACGAGCTCTATCGAATGATATGTATTTCACCCCACTGAGGAAAAAAATCCTGACTCCCAGTTCTCCAAAAGCAGATATACATATATGAGACAACAGAATATGTTCATCACTCCGCCAAAAAAATATCATATCACATTAACAAAGTACCCATTTTTCAATGAATCCGAATTGGTTCTGACGATTGATGTGAAATTTAGTGTAGCTATTAAGATTTCAAAGATCGTGGGATCTCTAAAATACATTCCGCTACTATTATCTGCATACTATTTCAATAACACATTCATTCTACAGCATGTGACAATCATGAAACACATGTCATTGGATGCGTTCCTACTAGTTCTATTGATTGATGTATGATTTTCGGAAATATTAACACTATGCAGACCCGAGGATGCCTAAAACCCGTTTAGCTAGTATCACCAACACATTGTTTCAATAACGTATTCATTCGGTAATGTATGGCAATCATGTAACATATACCAATTTATGCGGCTGGATGAGATACATCGGTTGGTGTGTAATTTGTGTAAATATTAACAGTTCACACGTGTTTGAATATTTAAAATAAGTTAAGTCAGATAAAAGTCACAAATCTGTCTCTGTTTGCCTCTTGGGCCAATATTTATGAATAATGACAGTGTTCGTTTGATTAATTCTGATTGGGCATACATCAATCGATAGAACTTCTCTGGACGCATCGAATGGTATGTGTTCCATGATTGTCACATACTGTAGAATGAATATATTATTGAAATAGTATACAGGTGAGAGTAGCGGAATGTATTTTAGAGATCCCACGATCTTTGAAATCGTAATAGCTACACTAAATTTCACATCAATCGTCAGAATCAATTCAGATTCATTGAAAAATGGGTATTTTGTTAATGTGATACGATGTTTTTTTTTTGTTGCGGAGTGATGAACATATTCTGTTGTCTCATATATGTATATCTGCTTTTGGAGAACTGGGAGTCGGAATTTTTTACTCAATGGGAATGAAATACATATCATTCGATAGAGCTCGTCAGCATGAATCGAATAGAATTGGTTTCGCATGTGGCATAGATTACTGAACGAATAATTACGGGAATTATATCATAAAATAGTGTTTTTTTACGTTTTCGCAGCTTGAGAGTATCACGAGTTCGTTTGGTTGGAGTTTTATGGATACCATCAAATGTAGAACGTCGAGATCTGTCGAATGATGTAAGTATGAAAAATGGCATGGGTCCTGTATCGAATTGTTTCAGGGAATTTTGGATTCCATAATTTTCCCCTGTAGTACAAAATTATGGTGGTTAAATTCGTGGGATATCTACCACTTTTTGGAAGAGGGATATGCTGTAGCAATGTTCTGCAAGGAAGGTTTTTTTCCGATTTTGATAGTGTAGTATGATGTAACATCGTCGAGAACGGTATGACATAATAAGCAAAACCGTTTCGAGATATGAAGTGTGAAGATCAACACCATTTTTTAGAAACATTACGCACATATAAAGTGTATGACATAACAACTGGTGATAAGTTGTTAATGATATTTTTCATACTTCTTGGCATAGAGAGCTGAAATTTTTATTATATACATATCTCGTCAAGATATTTTATTTGTGAAACTTTTAGCTGTCTATCTACAGATGGTGATGAAATACTTCAATTTTCGTACTGACTTTTGAAATAGTTTCACAGTAAACATATTCAAAAATTGGATACGAAAATTTATGTACTTCAGTTTTGTCAATGTATTTTGTTAGTAGTTTTGGATAGAGAGCTAAAACTTTCAGAAATGAAAGATCTTTGATTAAATATGTCTGCAATAAAAGTTTCAGCTCTTTATGTGAAGAAAAAGTATGAAAAATATGATTAACAATTTATTATAGAACACTTTTTATCTATGTGGAGTGTTCCTTAAAAATAATTTGGTTCTTCAAACTTTATGCTTCCAAAAACATTTTAATTGTTACCTCAATCCGTTTTTAATGGCGTCACGTCCAACTAGTCTATTAAAATTGGAAAAAAAGAATTCCCTGATAATGATAGAAACCACGGATCCATCCAGTTTGATTTGTCTTTCGTTGTTTTTGATCTTGGCTAAAATTCCAAATTTATGATATGATAGAGTTTATCGAGCTCTATCTGGCACACGACAATTCATACATGGTAAAGTTGAGTAGGTGAATCAATGTGAGAAAAAATAACTCGAATCAGGTGCTAACTTCCCTTACATGATCATTGCTGTACATTTGATAATGATGATGATAATCTTATTGATTTGAAAAAATTTATAGGTATCTGTTGGCTTTGATTCTATAATCATTAAAATAGATTTTTTCTTTAAAAAAATTATATTTATATATATAAGATTTAACATTCTCATTTTCATTTGGAATATCAATTATTGACAACATGGGCCCGACAAGATGTCCATCTTCTTGCTACTGTAGTACATTCTCAGCTCAAGCACTTCGAGAAATTTCTCGCTTNTATGATAATAATAATAATAGCAACAAAATCAGATATCAATCATTATGTAACAATCGTGCAAAAAAGTAAGAGGATAGAATAGTAAAATAAGCTATATGTTCGTTTTCTTTCCAAAAACTCTCAATTTACATTTAATAACGTGTTGTCAGAAAGTTTTTAGACAAGATGTTTGTTCATTTTCGGTTCTCTAGAAAGTATTTCCAATGAGTCAAAAGTTATGACTTTTTGCTCGAGCTTAGAAATTTTATCTGAACTTTTCTTCGAGAGTAGAGAAATAATCTATAAAGAAAAGAACCCAAAAAATTAGTTTGGACTAATAATTTTTGTATCTTCACTCTAGCGATTCAAAACTGAAAGTTGAAATCTTTATTTATATATCATTGGAATTGTCTCGGACCTAAATCCGAAGGAATCTAGTCGTCTGAGAAATGTGTAAGGTGTACTAGTCAATGAATAGAAAAAATGGAAAAAATGTCTGGTATCCTTGGGGCGACTATCCAATTCCGATTAGAGAATTTCATTGAGAATATCAAAATACGTTTCAACCGGGTCGAAAAATTTGGAATCCAACAAGCTTTACAAGACACCTCAATTTTTGTTTCTTCTAAAATCTCCTGTTTAAAAAATCGACAACCATTTCACATTGAAAGGAGCTCTTGAAAAAAACTACTTGGGTCAAAATTACAGTTTAATTCGATATCACATTTTCTAGAGATGTGTACGCTCAAACAAAAAAAACGACTGATTTCGACAATATTTAGCACATCCGAAAAAGGATTTATATAGTAAACAAAGTTCTGTTGACTTACAGTTAAGACTTTCAAAAATTTCAACAAAAATAGACACAAAATTTCAAAGCCCATATTTGAAAAGAACATCCTAACTCATAGCTTTTAATACTTTTCTAGCGGATCAAAAGTGAACAAACATCTTTGGCTAAAAACTTTTCAATCATCTATTACCCTCTTTTTTAGTTGCTCCATAATTCCAAGTCAATGTGATCCTCAAGAACTTCAATATTGGACCCAGCCAACTACTAATCTATGTTGTCCAACTGATTGTTGTAAAAATCCTACTTATACCACAACAAATTGTATAGACTATCCCTATAATGATGCATGTTGTTCTCCATGTTCTCAAACAATCATTCCATATTATTCATGTCAAATTCCATCGACAACAAATAAAATTTGTAACATTCAAGTTCAATGTGTGTAACTGTGAAATAAAAAAAAAGAAAATTATAGCTTATTTTTATAAGTATAAAATCTTGTTACACATTCCTAATTTTTCTCTTCATTCAATATGTGAAAAAAGAAAAGACGTAACAACAATAAAGACAAAAAAAAAGGAAACCACACTGTACAAAACGTAGGGACCACGTAGAAATCCAATAGTATATTAAGTATTGTTTATTTTTCTTATACTTGTAATTTATATAAATATATGAAACTGTATATGAACGAGCTTATTTATGATGATGTTTGTTTAAGATACTGATAAAATTTAGGAAACATATTTGAACGTAAAGCCATTGAATACAATTCATCTTTTTCTAATTGTCCATCTCCTATATCAAAATTAAAATATAAAATACATACAAAAAGAAAAAAGAAAACAAACCATCATCATCAAATATTGAAACAATTCTATCAATCATTACACGACGTTGTCGTTCACGTTTTAATTGTAATGTTAACTGTTGTTCATTAGGATTTTGAACAATCATTGAGGATTGTTGTTGTTGTTGATGATGATGAATAAAATTTGTTTGATCATAAATCTTTATAACAGCACCATTCGAATAACTCGGAATATTTTTCAATTGTTGTTGAACGGGATTTGAAATACGTCGATAGACTTTATATGATGGTTGAGGATGATATAAAGAACGATCACTTAATTGAACCATAGCAACAGGTAACGATAATGGAGATTGTTGAATAGAAGATAAACTTCCATATTGATTAGAATCTGCTAGAGAAACGAAAAATAACAAAATAAATACAAAAATAATATTCATATTATTAATATTAACTTGGCCTTTGTAATGATTGAAAAATAGGTAAAGCATTTGATTGAGATGTTAAAATTAAAAAAATAAATAAAATTAAATGTAATCGATTTGTTAATATTATTTTAAATTTTATATCTTGTTCATAATTAATATGTTCATTTAAATGTAATATTTGTCTATAATAGTCATCATTATCATTACAATTATTATCTTGACATTGATCAATTTTTGTATAGTTCAATGATCGATTATTTTCATCATAAAATTTTCTTTGCGTCATCATTAACATATACAATGAATATTATTTACATTGACATACATATTTAAATCGATAACAAAAAAACAAGCTGAAAAAAAAACCGTGTACAAGCAATTATACATTGTATATATCTGAAATAACACAAAAGAAACAAATATATATATATAATGTAATCATTAAAAAATAAAGCTGAGACAAATTGAGGACTAATATACATGTTTGATAGACAGCTGGTCTAAAGACATTCTTCTCTTTTATTTCTCACATTAATCCTTTTCGCCGGCAATATTTTTCTAATAAAATATAGTATCTAATTGCATCGACTATACTGTATTCTCTTTAAAAAAATATTTCATATAAGTAGTTCATAATCCTTGACTATGTTAGTATAAACATGAAAGTTAAATTAATTTTTTTCTATTCTACCTGAGTTTCTTGTTCGTCTTCTTCTTTTCGTTTCTATTACATGTACAACTAGAAATGAAAATGTCACGTTCAATGAATAAATCGATCAACAAGCAAAACGATTATCTGATTTGATGATCGAATTTTTCTCTTTTTCTTCGCTCTTACTTTTAATGATTATTGCATCATCATCATCAACATCATATCAGAAAAGAATATATATATATGAATATATTAAAGACGCTCAACAAGTAAAATTGACTTATATTCAAATGATGATAATGATTATGGACATATATCTATGTTATATTAGATTTTGTATGATTATATTACATACAAAGATCATAGATTTATATGAAATAGAAAAAGAATAATAGCAATATGAATATATCTTACCCATGGAATGAAACGATACATAGAAGAAAAAAAAGGAAGAATGAACAATAGAATAATTCTTTAGTATTGTAGAGTTGAAGGTAAATGTATGTATGATAATAGATAATGACATATACTCTCAACAAAAGAGTCAATCGTTTTTCTCGTTCTTCAGACAATATTGGAGATGATGGCGTTGAGCCGAGGTCATATCATAGTACTGATAGGAACTAATGGTTGACATTGATAGGATGAAAATATATTACGTAAACGATAGAGAACATGGCTTAGTTTATAGAAATAGCGTTTAAGTGAAAGTCTTATCTAATATATTCACTAAAAATTCAAAATGTCAAAAGATAATGAAATAGCCTATGGTAAAATACTTAATAAGATAATCTATTAAACCGATTAAAGATGTTATTTTTTTTTTTAAATGACTAAAAGATAAGTTATTAAAATGATACATCATTCTAAGACATGATTTTTCTAAAAGACTTATCAAAATCATTAAAAAAAGATCTTACCTGGAAAAACAACAACAACAAGAACAATTTTGATCAAAATCGAAAACATTGTTATTGTAACCTATGGATAAATTCTATTTGAATAAAAGCAAGTGATAGCAGCTGTCACCTTTTTGCCTCGTTTGTCTCGCCATACCGTATCGGTTATCATCTTTCTTTTTCTCTCTCTCCTTTTTCCTTCTTTTTTTTTGCTTCATACGCCACACTGATCATCATCATCATCGAATATATGTGTCACTCTCGTGTAGACAAAATTACATCTGTATCAAAACGCTTTAGGTCTTCTCGCATTCAAATGCATACATACGTATGATCAGTCCGTCCTATCATCCTTCACCATCGTCAGAAGATGATATGAACGATGTAACACGCTCTATAATGACATGTCATCATAACGATGATTTGAAAAAGAAAGAAAGAAATAGATTCTATGTATCTTTACTACTTACTTTTCGATTTGATGATCTTGAAAATAAAAAAGACCTTCGATGAGTCGTTTTCTTTTCTCTGCCTTATGAAGAGTATCGAATAAACCAGTACATTCTTTGATTGGTACCATTACAACCTTGACATCAACATTTTTATAATTAATGAAGAAAAGAATGTCATCGCATTTGATAACAAATACGTAAAAAATATCTTTTCTAAGTACTTACAGTTCCTCGTGTTGTTTTTATTATCATTTTATAATATCTATCAAAAAAGTCAACTCAATTATGTTTCTATACAGACACCGATAATTAGAAAAATGATGTATCGTGTCTCATCGAATGATTATTAAAAAAAAATATATGTATAATAAAGATACTTAATAACTTACATTTTCACGCAAGTCTAATCTGCAATCATGTACATGTCGCTGGTTGAATGAGTAATGTTCGTCTTTTTTCTTCTCTTTATCTAAACTTCCTCTCCCATTATTCTCTATCTCTACCAATACACTCTATTCGTTTTTTTTTCTCTTTTTCACCTACTACCTTGCAAAAGCTGCATATCCCCCCTCTCTTGTACTGCTTCTGTCGCTCTACTTTTTTTTTGTGGTAGAATCAACGGATGTCGATGTTAATAATGTACATATACACATCTACACATCTATATTATACAAGTACATAAATTCGAGGGTCATCGTATGTTCATTCTTGTGTAAAAATTCAATTATTAAAAATATATTCTGTGCTTGTAGGACAAAACTTCAGGAACAGAAGCAGAATATATGTTTAAAGCAAAAAAAAATCACTCCACTATTTACAAGTATAATCAGAGAAGTTCTGATTACATTTATGAATTGCCATAGTATGATATCAATCGGATTTATTTCACGGTACATTTTTTTCTATGATACTATCTATCATTCTTGTCATTTTACATACCGTTTATAGTGTAAGAAAAAATAAAAGAATGTTAAAAAGGCAAGTGAGAAAATTGATCGCTTTTCTCAATGCACAATGCATTTATGTATATTTACTTGATAATCGATTGTTCAAGGTTAAAAAGACGTTATCTTTTCTTCTCGGTTGCTTCCGTTTCTATGTATAAAATATGATGAGAAAACTTGAACGATGTTCATTCAATTGACATGAATAGCACACTGACACTTGAAAGTAACAAAATATGATCCTAATTGTTCAATGCACTGCGCATATATCATTATCATCATCTAGCATATTTCAAGTACGAATTAGACATGCTCATGAAATGCCAATATTTTGTATATAATGCTTAAGAGAGAAAAGAACTCAATCAATTCTCTTTCTTTTTTATATTGTCTGAAAAAGATACTTGAAAAGAGCAAATGTGTATAATATTAAAAAGAAAAAGAAAACGCATATGAAGTATTAAGTTTAGAAAATCCTTCTATCGACGTTTTTCTTTTTAATGGAAAGTGTTAAAATGAAATCATATATCGTTCGGTATTTGACTTATGTTCTACGTACGTTGAACCAGATAGGTCATTCACGAAATGTGAAGTGATGATGGTTGTGTCAGCGATACCATTAGTAATGTAGAAAAGAAGTGGGATATTCTTGTCAACACTCACACATACACCAACGTAGTGATATCACACGACGTAAAAAATTATATCGTATCCAAACAATTGAAAGAAGTGTTATGTTAGCAATACTGTGCGTAGAACGGTGTCATTGTTGTTAATCGATCAAGGTTCAGTTAATATTTAACATAACGACTCGTTTTGCATATGACAACAGTTGATCGTTACAAATGTATATATTCATTAGAGTTTCAAAAAAGTAATAGAAAGCTACTACTATGTATAATATTTGTCCGACAATTTGTGAGTTAAATATAACATTCAATGAGGTGAGATTTTCATAAGATGACAATTGTTACTTTTTAAATTAAATATCCTATTCATTCATTTGTCGGATCAATATTTGATTCTAACTGATGTAATATAGACTTTATTTATCCTTGAATAACAGTTAACTGTCAAAAAAAGCTAATATATTATTGTTCCATCATACTTACGTGAGTTTAATGAAAACTGTGCATGTATCAATTAATATAGCATTAACAAAAAAATAATTTATAGCAAAAAAACAATGTAGTTATTGTTTCACATGCATAAACTAACTAATCGATGATGTCAATCAATTTCAGAAAATTGATTGAGCCGTTTCTTTTCTTCTTTCTTTCTTCTCCGTGAGAAACTATAACACTTGTGTTTTTAAGTAAAGAAACCATTAGAAATCGACTGACATTGATGAACGAATATGTTGTCGGTTAATTGACCATGAACACTTCACTTCATTCATTTTGCATATATTACTGAACAATGTCTCAAGAGTTCTATCATGTTTTCATAAAAAGAAGAAAAAGAAAAGAATATTAACCGAAGACAAGACAAACAGACAAACAAATATAAATGAGTATCGAAATTTATAACAAAAAAAAAAAAAGAAACTGAAGGAATGACACTTATTGTCCACCAGCAGTCTGGCCACCACCAGCATCGTTAGTAAAAACATTTTGAAGAAGGACAATGACAACAATTGGTAACAAATATTTCCACTAAAAACAAAAGAAAGAAATCTCTATTTAATGTTATTATCATTAGTAATAAGAGTTTAGACAATTTTCGCATTACATAAACATCAAGATTTTTATCTCGAGAAAATTTATCATGACTAGTAAATTTCTTCATAATGTGTAGACATTCGGTGAAAAATTGAAAGTATACTTTTTATAATGATTTAAGTAGAGCAACGTACAACCTGACCTATAGATTATTTAATAACATAAAAGTCTTTGTTCCTCTTGTTAGCATTAATCGGAAAACGTCACTAATAAGGATTAGGAACCTTTTTACACTAAATAAAAAACAATAAGGAAAAAATATCCTTGAGAAAACTATATATAATCTGAAATTGCGTCTTTCGCGCTCGTGACTCGTTAAAAAAAAGTTCATCATAATCTGTTTGGAGCTCGGGAAAAGTCATTCTTCTGTAACGGAAACATATGTTCAATATGATGGTCTTGCACAATTTTCAACAACTCAAAAGTGGACGCAACTTCTATAGAATTTCTCTCCATCCATAACATTGAAATAGTGTTAGCACGAAGATTCTGCGACTGAACTATAGGTTTTCTATCAAACTCTCAGTTTTCAAAGTAAAACTCATTTCTCTTGATATAGAAACAGTATATTTGAAGACTAGTCTGATATTTGGAATCAGCATCAAATGATGTATAATTTATTAGGCTTCTTACAGGAAATAACGTCTTTCTAAGCTAAAAAATCACTAGTCTCTCTGATCTATAGAAAAATGCCTACTGTATGTGTGTACAGGGCAAGAAACAGTAAACTCGAAACTTAATTATAGATAACTTATATCATTTTGTTGACTCTAATTTGCTTGACAAGATGCTGATAAAAGCCTACGATATTCTCTATCAGTAATATATATTATACCATATATAGTTCAGTGACGCATCTTACTCAATTAGTACAATATAACAAATTTTAGAGATCTGTATCAAAAAAAATAATTTATATGTCTTGTGTGTTACAGACACTAACGTGTATTGTTCTACCAATGAACACTAATCTTCTAAGCCCAGGCAGACAAACTTTTGAGAAAACGCGTTTAAACGCACAGAAATTGGCCTAAAATCAGCAAAAAGTGGACGTTTTCGGATCACACTTGAGGTTCCCGACTGTGAGCCAAAAACGCCCATTTTTCGCCCTTTTTGTGCGTTTAAACGCGTTTTCAGACAAAACACGCGTTTACACGCATGCAAAAAGGAGAAAAACTGGTCGTTTTTTCAGACTCGGGATGCTCGATCATGATTACTGTCACGTTTCTTGAGCTGGAAAAACACAACAATTTTTTTCTCCTTTGTGTATGCGTGTAAACGCGTTTTTTGTCTGAAAACGCGTTTAAACGCACAAAAAGGGCGAAAAATGGGCGTTTTTGGCTCACAGTCGGGAACCTCAAGTGTGATCCGAAAACGTCCACTTTTTGCTGATTTTAGGCCAATTTCTGTGCGTTTAAACGCGTTTTCTCAAAAGTTTGTCTGCCTGGGATATGCTGACAACTCGAAATTTGAGCAACGATATTTATGTAGTGAAACTTTAGGTTAGAAAAGTACTTAGAAAAATTGAAATACGCCAAAAACATCGAGTCTCGGTAGCCTCAAGATTTATTCAAATATTTCTTTTGACTTTACTTGTCGTAGAGTGAGGAAAAAAATTATGGATGCATTTTAAAGAACATTTTTTTTGATTACTGAGAAAATCGATTTTTTTTCTGTCAAAACTTGAGTTTCAAAAGAAACGCATTTCATATTCAGAATGAGTACAAAAATCTAAATCGAACAGTATACTCAACATTAAAATCATCTAATTTCGACGTTAGGGGAGCACAGGGAGAGCCTGTCGAATCCAATATTTTTGGACATAGATCTCAACTGATCGAACCGTATTTTAATGCTTTCAATGGAATTTTTTTTGTTTGGAATCAAATAGCCGTCCCGAAGATACGAGATAGTCTTTACCGATTTTTTTTTGTATTCAGTGTCCAGTGAACCTTACACATTTCTTAGACAAGTCGCTTGAGAAATGTGTAGAGTTGAACTCATCGAATTCGAGACTAGTCAACGTGCTCTAGCTGATTGTCAATATGATATTTTGGATGATCAGCGTCTTACATTCCTATTTATTATAGATTCTAAGTTTCTTTTCTAATTTGATCTAAAGACAAAATTTCTACTAACATATTTAAGAATAAATGGTCGATTATCATTTTCTTGTGAACTTAATTTTGCTTCTTGTTGTCGTTTAAGTTTATCTAAAAATTGTTGTACTTCAGGTCTGAAATAAAAAAAATGCAAAAATAAATAAATTTTTTGTTTTTCTTGCATTATTTTACTAACTGTGGTCCAACTTCATTTAATTGTAAACGCATTGTAATTTTATAATTATATTCTTGTTTTTCTTCAGCTTTGTTTATATTCGAAAGATTACATGTCGAATTTCCAGTTGTAACTTGTACACCAACAATATAACCATTTTCATTAACAAATAAAGTAACAGTATAGTGAAATTGTGTTTGTACAATTAAACACTAAAATAAAACAAAACAATATTTAAATGAAAATCAAACATAATAAAAAATTCTACCATTGGTATAGATGTCATAACATAATCTTGTATTGTACCACGTTTAAAATGAACTTTTAATGCATAATATTGATAATCATTGTTGAAATTAATTAATCGTTCATATTGTGATGATGAAATAGTTCGTGATGGTGATAAATCAAGATTTGATTGACGTGAAAGACGAATATTCATTTTAGAAAATGATATAAATTTTCCATCTAATTAAATATATAAAAATACTTTTTTTTTTAATTTAATATTAATTTTCCTACCAATATTATCTTCAAAGTTAAGTGATATCAAGTCATCATTTGTATCACTAAATGCCTACACAAAGAAAACGAAATTTTAAATATTTTATTTACAATGCAAAATTAAAGCAAATTGTTTTTTTTTTATTCGTAGTTAGAACTGACTAAAAATATATCTTTTTTAATTTCTTTTGAAACCCTTCTGAACTTATTTTTCTTAAAATAAATCTCACACAGTCAGTTTTTGCATGATGAATTTAATGATATCATTTATCCATACGCATGAAACAGAAAATTTATTTTTTGTTATCAAGTCTTTCAAAAGAAATTAAAAAATACATATTAGTAATCAGCTCTATCAGACAACATATAAAAAAAAACGAAAACAACATACCAAAACAAGACCTAATTGTAAAATTAGAAGAAGTAAAACCATACATCTGACAACAATATTAGTTTGTTGAAACATCATTAAAATGATTAGAAAACAAATATTACACTTTATTTATTAAAGTACTTCTAGCGACTGATTCAATTTCATTCGAGAGTACATCAACCAATCAATAAGACTAACAATCGCTATTTTGTGATAGTGAATGAAAAAGGAAGACATCAATAAAAATGGATTTAGACAATGAACTAGCCGGAAAAACTGTTATATTAGGAAATAAGGTATGAATTGGTTTAGGAAATTTTTCAATGATTAATTTAAATTTTTTTGCTAGACATATGAACTTGATAAATTAAGTCCTGAAGAACGTTTTCGAGTTCGACATGAAGTTATACATGAAAAACATAAAGGACACGAATCTATGCATATGGAAATGGTACTTGTTTTACTTGTATCACTTGTTGTATGTCAATTTATAATATTATTTTGGAAAAGTTATCATTTAAGATCTTACCAAGTAAAAAAAAAAAGATTAAAAAATAATTTCAAAAAAATTTTTGTTTTTCATTTTAATTAATTTTCATAGTTTTTTACAATGCTTGCAATGTGGATAATACCATTTGGTTTATCAATAAAATTTTTTTATATTCGTTTTATTATTATTTGGATTTGTTTTACAATTATAACAGTTTATGTTACTCGAAGAGCAACTAGGCAACCAATTGAACCAAATACACCAAGGTAAATAGAAAAAATAAATTTGATTTTTTGAAGAAATAGAATTCATCAATTATAGATTAGTTTATAAATGGTTTCTTCTTGTTTATAAAGTTTCATATGGTCTTGCTATAGGTGGTTATTTTTTAATAATGATGACTTTTCTTGGAATTAATAATCTTTTATTAATATCTCCACAAGTAATTGAAATAGAATTCTTATTTCTAAAAATTGATAATTTGTTTGTAGACAGCTCTTGACTTTGGAATTTTGATTATGTTTTATGGTATTTATTATGGTGTACTTGGAAGAGATTTGGCTGAATCATGTACTGATAGAATGGCATCAAAAATTGGGGTGATTTGAATTTGAGAGAAAATAATTATTAAAATTTGAATATTTAGTATTATTCGGAAAGTGGTTTACCTAAACGAGCATTGGAATCAAATACATGTGCTGTTTGTGCTAATCTGATATTAGTGCAAAATAATGATGAAGCTTTAATTGAACGAACATATAAATTACAATGTGGACATACGTTTGTATTATTTCTTTTATTTTTCTTTCGAATTGATTGTTTTTTTTTATATTTAATTGAACAGTTTTCATGAATTTTGTATACGCGGTTGGTGTATTGTGGGAAAAAAACAAACATGTCCTTATTGTAAAGAAAAAGTTGATTTAAAACGTTTATTTCCTAATCCATGGGAGGTATGTTTGAATAAATTTTATTTATTTATTGAATTTTTTTTCAAATATCTCTTTTTATAGAAACCTCATGTACTTTATGGAAATTTACTTGATTGGATTCGATATCTTGTTGCTTGGCAACCATTAATTTTAATGGTTGTACAAGGTGTTAATTATGTTCTTGGTCTTGAATAAAAAAATAAAATAGTATCAATCAGTTCTTTTTCTAAGTCGATTCAAATTTATTGAGTAGACAATCTTTAGAAAACATTCAGCTTTTATGTTTTGTTGTTTTTCTTTTGTATTGTCATATACAAGATATTTAAATAAATATATACATGTTGTTATTGATTTTTGTTACTGTCAAAAGCATTTCAATTTTCCAGATAAGATATTTTCTCTCAAAAGAAAATGAGTAATATCATTAAACAGACATCTATACAAGTATGATAAAATCTTGTTTGTCATTTTGTCATATAAAATAAAATATTAGTAAGACGACAAAGTTATACATTATTCAATATCTTTTGGATTGAGTAAGAGGAGTTATGAGATTTGACAAATTTGCTTATTTTATTTCAGCGGAAAAAGTAATTAGCAAATTCCCTATTGTTATAATGCCTGTCGGGAAAACTTTATTCATGAAAGCTTATTCATTGAGTTTATCTCGATAGCGTGAAATATTTTTCTTTTAGAAGAAATGTCGCATTTCTGAAATTGGCTGCTTCTTTAAAGATTCATCTAAGAGTTAAGTCCAACATACCATGAAAATAGTGATCTTGTGAAACATTAAATTCTACGCATTATTATCATTCATTTTTAACAAGACTTTGTATGTACAAATGCTTACCCATTAAGTATATTACTCCTCTAATTACAAGACAATTGCATATTGTGTTGAAGAAATATAGAAATAATAATTCAGTATCGTAATTTCGATAGAAATTAGAGCATGTAAAAATCACTGGAAATATCTGAATTTTAAAATTAAAATTTGTGTTTTCTTACGGAACTATGGCAGATTACTATTATTATCAACAGTAAAATTTAGATATTTTCAGTGATTTTTTGCATGCTCTAATTTACATCAAAATTACGGCATTGCTTAATTTTTCTTTATATTTTCAGCAGAATGCCCTATTGTCTAGTACTTTGAACATAATATACATGATGGGTGAACATTTCTGCATACAAAGTTTTATTGAAACCTAACGATACTAAAGTGTATAACTTACAGTTTTACGAAGCTTCTATGTTTCATGGTATGCTGAACTTCACCCTCGGATACATCTTAGAGGGGCTTTCTGCTTCAGAAAAATGACATTTCTTCTAAAAGAAAAATATGTCACACTATAGAGGCAAACATAGAGAATAAATTTTAATGAAGAAAATTTTTCCGGAAGATATTGTCATAATATGAGACTCTGAAAGGATTACTTTTTCTGTTGACATTCAATAAGAAAATATGGATGGTATCTTCCTTAAATTATTTTTCGAGTAATAAGAAACTCAAAGAATAATTATTTCTTGTTATTTCGTCTATTAATCTAAAGAATTTCATCGAACAAAAAATAATAAGTCAATCGAGTTTTATCAGATTTTAAAAATTAAAGAATAAATTTGAAAAAAACTTTTCTTATCTGTCTTATAGTCTCTATTTAAAGTTACTTATATAAAAATTTCTCTTTCCATTTGTAATATTAAAATGGAAGCTGTACTAAATATTTTATGTCTTTCAGATGACAAATTATACTGATCTTCCTTCTATTACTTTTCCACAAAACGATATAATCCAATATATATTTAACAAAGAAAAACCTGAGTAAATACTTATATTACTTTTTTTTTTTTTTTTTGTTCAAATAATTTTGTTTTCATTGTTTTTTCTCATTAGTGATATTAATCAACATCTCACTCAAATCATAATTGATTTAATAAAACAACGTGGCTTTACTGGTGAGCAGAATTCTGCTTTGCCAGTCTGATTTTTTTTCATTTGTTTTATTTCAATGATAGAATATGATTCACAATGTATTGCTCTTCTTCAAACATGTTTAATTGATTTTTATAATGATTTACTAATACGTTTTAAACAGAATTTAGAATCAATTGGTTCTTCAATTAATATACAGGTTATTTGAAAACATCATTGATTTTAAATTATATATGATTTTTGAATATAGGATGCTTTCCAAAGGACATTAAATGATGTTATGTCAATCAATGTACGAGAGCTACATAATTATATGAAAAAAAAACATTAATTTTATGCCAATGATTTCTCTTCTTAAATGAAATAAAATATTTTTGATAAAAATCAGACTGGCAAAGCAGAATTCTACTCACCAGTAAAGCCACGTTGTTTTATTAAATCAATTATGATTTGAGTGAGATGTTGATTAATATCACTAATGAGAAAAAACAATGAAAACAAAATTATTTGAACAAAAAAAAAAAAAAAAAGTAATATAAGTATTTACTCAGGNATAAATGTACGAGAGCTACATAATTATATGAAAAAAAAACATTAATTTTATGCCAATGATTTCTCTTCTTAAATGAAATAAAATATTTTTGATAAAAATCTTAGTTTTTTTTTTCATTTGTCATTAACAACTGAATAATTACACGATTTTCATGTCTATTTATAAACGACAATATTTCTGATATATGAAGAACTCTTTTTGGTTTTTTTTTACATTTTGATAGCGATAAGCTGAGAGGCTTGAGCAGAAAAAGAATATAAGAACGAACAAGTTTATTGCACTTTGATTAGATATACTTTCAATACTTTTATGAGTACAGATTTATCTACACAGACTGTTTTTTGTCATTTAAATACATTGCATTGAATTTCTGTTCTTATTTTTATTTTGTCAAATTACCATGAAAGATTTTTGTTTACCTCTTTAATGCATGACTCACATTTATTTAACAGGTATAGTCTGAAAACTTTATTTTCGTTGGTCAAATGAAACAAACTGGATTCTACGTGAGTTTCGATCGACACAGTCGAAGTGTTTGATTTTTTTCGCATTGACTGTGTCGACTGCGTCTTTCATTAAAATCTATTTAAAACTCATGGATACGATAATAGATAGATGTGAAGTCTTGTATAATCATATATGGCTGAATGATTCTTGTAACGTGGATAACTTTGATTGGAAGTTTCTCTCATGTTTTGACCCTTGTCGATATATGATTTGTTTTGTTTCTGTTTTCGCACATTGTTTTAACTGAATGGCAAATTAGCTTCGACTCTACGCTTCAATTCTCATATGATTTAAGTTATTTGTATTCGAAAAAATTTTGCTTTTCAATTGTAATTTTTTAAAGACTATACCGAAATATTTACTTTAGTTTTGTTGTCTATACTCAAATTTCATCTTGTTTCTTGTCTAAATATTTGTTGTTTCATCCTGAAACAACATACATAAGGATTCTATGATCTTACATGTAGGTCCGACTTTCTATTCGATTTAAGTAAAAGATTTCGATATTTTCAAGAGTTATTCATTTCTCTCAGATAGAGCGAAAGAACGAATCTAATATTTTTATCGATTAGTATAAATGTGATGAAGAAAAAGAATGACAGGAATAATCTAAAATACACGTTTTTTCTATTATTGGAAAATTCCTTCTTCTGCTATATATACCTCTCTGTTCGTCAAACATCATGACGAGACACATGGTAAAAAGAAAGATAAGAATAATATTTACTTATCAACACTATATAAAATCGAGTTAAAATTATCTAAATGTTATTACTGTTTTGTTTTTTATTTATATGAAGATTTATTATGTGTGAATAATGTCGAAAGAAAATGACATCACTGATGATCTTGATCAACAAATGATCAATCCAAAGCAGACTTCACGAACAATATACTTTTATATTCTACGCAACACAACTGTAGATGAAAAATTCAAAATCAAAGCTTATTTTAATAATGATATTAAATATACATTTAATCGAGCAGAAGTATTCGATGAAAAAAAAAATAATAGTCCTTATATTTATTGTCTTGAATTGAATTTAATTATTGATGATCAAGATCGTTTATATATCAATTATCAAAATGGTTTAGTACCAATTGAGCATTATCGATTACGTCTTTCACGTAAAATTCCTCAAACTGACAGAACATTTCGTGACTACAATGACGATACATTTCGATATATTGATAATGCTCGTTTTACTAAACATTATTTTCTATTTGACGTTAATTTTGCAAAAAATTTTGTTGATGGTCCTCCTGGTAAGAATCTATTTAAAAATAAAAAATTGAATATATTGACAGGAAAACAATGATATTATTTTATAGGTGAAAATGTTCCCTTTTGGAGTCAACTATGCTTATATACATTTTATTTACTTCATTATCAAATGTTTGATCATTTTAATATACTAATCGATCAATTTAAAAAAGTTGTTCAAGATACTAATCGTACATTAATACGTGAAGAATTTAATGATTTTTTTCAAAGTTGTATCACTCATTTATCTTATGCAATACCTCCTTCAACAGATCAAACTATGGCTGAAAAACTTATTATTTGTATGACAGGACTTTTACCAATAATAAAAACAAATTTTGATTTAACTAGTCATTTTGTTATAAATTTTACATTAGCATTAATTGATGATATTAAAGAACATTATGATAATCTATTTTCAATAGTTTCAGTGGGTGATTGGCATTTATTTCGTGATGGTCTAACACTATATCTTTCAATTGAATTACTATCTAAATCAAAAGATACTATAGAATTGGTACATCGAATGAAAAATGAACGATGTCAAAAAGATCTAGCTAATGTATTATTACAACGACTTGAATTATTAGGAAGGCCGGTTTTAGGTTTAAATTGGACAAGTCTATTCACAATTGTTGATCCAAATATTCTTACATTGAAACAACTTGAATTAACAGGATCAATAAAAACGTATATCACATCTTTAGTACAAATTGTTGGCATGAATATTAATGAAGTGGAACTTAGTGATAAAATCATTCGTCATTTCGATCGTCTTATATTTGAAGAGAGTTTACGTGGTAAAATAAAATTATTTTTTTATTATATAAAATTTATTTGTATTTTTTATTTTAGTTGATCTTGATGATATTATATTTTTAATTAAATTTTTACAAATGGAATCATCAGAAACTGAAGAATCCTCAAAAAATATTTTAAAAACTGTTAATACAGCTATTGAATCAAGTATTCAATTACGTAAAAAAATACAACAATATTTATATACATTAAAAATAACAAATGAACAATTTAAAGATATTCGTCTTATTATTTCATTTATAGAAAAATCATTTATTTTATTTTTAGTTGAAAAAAGAGCTTTATTAATTCATTTAATGAATCATGCACATGCATCGTATTCATATGAATTTTTTAAACAATGGTTTTGTTCATTTTTATTATTTCATGATGAAATAAATGATCGTAATAAAAAAATTTATCAAGATTTACTTGAACATTGGTCTCATCAACTTCCTAAATCTTATGAAATAATGATAAAAATAATGATGGATATTGATTTTTTAATTAATGCTTTTGAAAATGAACAATATCAATTGATCTTTATTCATCATATGATTAATCTTTGTTTTCAACAAGGTAAACAAACAATAATTGCTCGTTAAATTAGCTGAAAATAATTAGTAATAAGAACAAAAAAAAGCAAATTTTACTAACACATTTTGCTCATTCTCCCGTTCTACACAAGACCTTTATCTTATTTGCGTACTGATTGTCATTATCGTCGCATTCGGTATAGGAGCTATTATAGCATGAATATTTCGTGTATCATACAGATTGTAAAGAACATATAATTAGTGACATAACTCGAAAAAAATTTGTAGAGGAAGTTTAGTTTCCTTCTTCCTTGGACTATACGTTTAGAGAAGACAGATCTCTCTGGTCACATATTCGCAGAGTAGGAAGGAAAGCTGACGAAGGAAGTCTTTCAAATGATAAATCGCTTTTGAGACGCGACTATGTGCATCATATTAACCTTCATGAGTTATGAATATTCTGAAAAGATTTCGGATCCTTATCTTATTACTGTTGAGATATTGCATTTTTATGTTATTTTTTTTAGCACAATGCCTTTGTAACCTTGAGAGACATCAAGAAAATTGAGTTTTCAATTTCTACTTGAAAATTTGCACATAGACAGATCTTAACGAATATAGGCTATGATGAAAGTTTCATGTCTTTCGTTGTTCCTATTTATAGATACGACTATAGTAAGAATTTGTCTTTTACATCACTTTTATACACTAGTAGATTTGATGTTCTCATTTCAGAAAAGAAAAAAATCAAAAGATTTGAAACACTCACAATAAACTATTCTTGTTAAGGGTTGTCTCTGTGTAAAGTTTTGAATCAAAACGGGAAAATCTTTTGTTCTTAGTGTTCTTAAGGGGAATATCTGTTTTAATTTAAAAAATACCGTAAAAATACGGTTTCTTTAAAACAATAAGCTAAGAACTAAGACTCTTTCAAAAGTATTCATAGCTCATTAGGCCATTCGAGATGCACATAATCTCGAGTAAAAATTGTTTTATCAGTTGAGAAATTTTCTTCGCGAGCCTTGTCTAGCTCCCATCTGATTACGCCATTACGCGAAAAAGAATTTTAGAAATATAACAAGAGGATCAAAGTAAATATCAAAAGACGAAAACCAAATGTTAATATGAATCGATCATCTAGTAGAATCATATTTGATTCAAATGTCTTTGATTTACTATGTTCACTACATCAGTGATAGAGTGTATATTTTTTCTTTTAACGTACAGATTAACTCATAAATATGAAAGTATCGAAAATGCAATACGCATTGTTTGACTATATAGGTTCAACTACATAGTTGCTACGTTCCGTATTGCTGAAAGGACGCCGTAGTGTTCAGAGTGTCAGTGTAGGTGTATGTCCTCTGTCAGTTCACAATCATAGAGCATGCGGCCACATTTGAAACACCTTCGTCTATGTCTATCCATCTACAGCCATGCCTCAGTACTACACCATTTTGCTGAGTAGTATGCCTTAACGGAAACGCACCCTGTTCAGTACTATGGAGCGTAGCAAATAATTAAAGAAATAAGGGTTTTTCATAGGAGTTAATTAGGCCAATTTACGTCCGAGTCGAAATTCTGACCTTTCACTATATTTCATGACATAAGTATGAGATTATGGCTTGGCATTTGCTATGAGTTTTCCATATTTTTTCTTCGAATTTATATAGAACGTCTCCCATGACGAGAAAGTCGATGATAGGAATGTTCAAATAGTTCAAAAAGAATTGATTTTTTTCGACACTTTCTTCAATAGATTCAGTCAAATATGTGAACAATCACTAAAGAAAACATTGCACTTAGGTTAGGAAATTTATTAAAGTTCTTTAAAAAGATTATAGTGTTTATTATGAAGAAATTTGTCAACATGATTTCTTTTTTTTTTTGTATTTAGAATCTATTTATCAAATTTTATCTGATGGATTATTAAATCTAAATAATGAATTATTTCTTGATCAATTTGAAAAGAAATTTACATCAATCTGTTTAAATATATCTCAAAATAAATTAAAACAATTATCTAATCGTGAAAATCCATTATATCATTTAATTAATATTGATAAACAAAATCAAGGTAAAAGTAAATTAATTAATAATTTAATTCAACTTACAGCAAATAAAATTCAATTTGATGTCGATGAAATTTCACAAGAAACATTTGAACGACCAACTCGTACAACATGTGTCTATGCAATTTTATTTGAAGATTGTTTTAAAACTTCAACATTACGTCAAACAATAATTTATCAATTACGTGAATTATGGAATGTATGGGAAAAAGAAGGCTTTCGTGCAAATCAAATATTAGGATGGAAAAATTTTTCTGATGAAGAACGTCAAATTGTTTATCGTATTTGGAATTATATTGGTGAAACAGCTGGAAAACAAGATAAAATAAATACATTAATTGATAGACAACAATGGGAAATGGATGAGAAGATTCAAGTAAAAGAAAGAATTACACAATGTTTAGAAATTTATTGTCAAAATGCTTATGATAAACAAATATATCTTGATCTTTTATCAGATATGGAAACAAAATTAAAATCTGAAATAGTTCGTTCAATTCAAATTCCAGATCAAATTAAATCAATTTTACCACTTGTTAATCGTCTTAATCCATTAGAAAAATTAAATGTTTGGAAAACATTTTTAGCCCAGAAACGTAAATGTAAAAAATTTTCTTTTTATTTTCAAATTCAAAATAAATAAAAACTTGTTTCCATTTTTATAGGTGATCAAAATTCACCTACAACTACAGATATGAATTCATTTGATATTATTGATAGTGAATCATTGTTATCTGACGATGGTATGTATATAGTCATGTTTTATGAATCTTTCGACTTCATTAAATATTTCTTTTCATTGAAATGAAATAGAAAATCGCTAGAAATTGAAGTTTTAGGTACTTGTATACACGTAGGAGCTGCAAAATCTGAGACTATGCTTAACACTTCTTATAATATACTTTAAAGAAAGTACTATTTCTTTGACGTTCGAGCCGTTAAGATTAATTTCAGAACCTAAGCAATGTTAGATCCGATGTTCACTATACTAGAAAAGCTGTTTGCGAAATTTCTGCAGAATTAAAACTCGAAACATAATGTAGCTCCTGTTGCTAATCATAGCGATATTGTTTTCTTCTATCTATTGTGGAACACATCTCTTCACTATCCTATTATTTGATTCTTCAGAAATGCAATAAGGAAGTAGTAACGAGACGTTATTGATATACGATCTGTGACGGAGAGACAGAACGTTGCTAAGACATCATTCATGATCTGGAATCATCAGTGCTTGGTCAAGATTTTCTCTTTCGAAGGGGCGACTTAAAACTACGGAAGGGTCAACCCGATCTTTGAAGGGAATTGGGGGGGGGGGGGGCGCACAATAGATAAAATGCTAGTGGTCATATATCAGAAACGTCTCTAATGGTCTATGGAGAGATGCGAACTTCTACCCTATATACTTCAACATTCATGTTAGGTCGTTTTTCATAAAACACCAGCTTAAATAAAACTGTAGATATTGGTCTGTCTAGTTAAGAGTAAGAAGTTCGATACAATTCTTAATATATGATATCAGCTCAAGGAAGTTAAAGTTTTCCTGTTCATTATTTCCTCTTATGAAACTTCATATAAATGCAAAATAACAGATGTAAAACGATTTCATTTTTATAGTTGGCCGTATTGATCAAACAACTAGCTATAAAATCTTATAGATAGATTAATAGAAATCCATAATGGTGCGCCATGATCTTACATAGACCGATGATTCCGACCTTCGGAAACAAGTAGATTTCGTCGAAACTAGTCAGAAAACTTCGAAAGTCTATGGAATTTATGCATAGTATTTCGGATCAGGAAACAACAAGAAGTTAGTTCATTCTGAATGTGCTCGTATGCTTTTACCTCGGTATCTAAAATATTTATTCTTTTAACTAATTTTCTCAAAATCTAAAATTATTGCAATGCAAAAGTTTTTCAAATATCATTTTTAATTTAGACCGTACAACAGAAGCAAGTTCATCATCACGTACTTTTCGTAGTTCTTTATGTGCTACCATATCAATAGACTCAAATGAAGATATTCCATTAGATCAACGATCATGTATTGATATATTAACTGAATACATTGAAATCCTTGATATGTTTATTGAACGTTTAAAAAGAATTTGTTCTGAATGGAAACATTTATCTATATCTGAAATACTTAATTTATTTCCTGATATTCAATATGTAGATCATGATTTTGAAATTCTTAAACCATTATTAAATTCTGATGCAACAGATAAAATTAAATCAGTATTAGATTATTGGAAAAATCGTGACAATATTTATCATATATGTCATGGTTATATTAATCTACTAAATAATATAGAAAAATTTTCTGGCAAAAATTGTGAAATATTCAAAAAAATTACTGAAATAAATAATCAAACAAAAGGTTTACAATGTTTTATGCGCTATCGACAATTTTTAAGAGAATTTCTTGAATGTCATTCAAAAGAATTCCTTAATTTTATTGCTCAATATAGTTTATCAAATGAGTTAATTACATTTTTAAATCTTCTTCCATCAACTGATGTTGATAATTTACTTCAAGCTGTTAATGATTGGGATGAAACATTAATAAATACAAAAACTGTATTAGATTTTGTTATGCTTAAAAGATTTTTTGTTCGATTTAATCAGAAATTAGATTCTATAAGAAATGATTCATCTTTATTTGATATTGAACAAATTAAAATAGCCTTTCAAACAACATTTGAAGATGAACAATTTAAAAATATATTCAATTGTTTTCCAACATGTTTAGCATCATTAACAAGCATTAAACGTATACATTTAGAATTAACTGATAAAGAATTATCCAAACGAAAACGTATATCTGATATAATGCAAAATATCAAATTTGGTTTTATTGAAGAATTTAATAAATTTAACATCAATATAGAACCTCAATCAATATGTTTTAATGATTTAAGTGAATTACGTGATCGAGCAAGATTAATTGAATATTCAACAAATAATAATAAATTTTCAATTGATTCTCAACATGATATAAAAGAACTTCATTCATTTGTAACATTTGTTGAAATAGTTGAGAAAATTCTAAAAAATTTTTCATTATTAAATATAGCTGGTCATCCATCAATAATTAATTATCTTTCACCAAATAAATCATTTACATGTGTTGATAGTGATTATCAAGAATTAATTGAATTTAGTGTAATGCTTGATAATCTTCTTTATGATTGGGATATATATTTATGTAAAATGTATGAAAAACATATTGATTTAACTTATTTTTCATATCAACAAATTTGGATTGTTGAAGATTATTTATATAATCAACTACAACAATTAAAAACAAATCATTCTGGCTATCATTTATTACAATATATTGGCATACAACCAGAAACAATTCATGCTGAATATTTACCAATAAAAACTGAAAATCCAAATGAACGTTTAGAAAATATAGGAAAAATTTTAACAGCACAACGAATAAAATCAAATTTAATAATTAAACAAGAAAATCGTAGTATTAAAAAAGTTTATTTAGTTGAAACATCTGATGAAGGTATTTTACGAGCAATACTTTCATTATTTAAAAATCTTCGTACATCAATTGCTGTTAATCATTTATTTTATTGTACAGAAGAAACAAGTTGGACAGAAATTCGTGCATTTACATATCGTTGTTTTTATTCTCAAACATTACATCAATTAATTCGACCTGAACTATTATCAACATCAATTCAAGATCATTTGACACGTTTCTTAAGACAATTAATTGAACATCATCCAGAACATTATTTTCGTCTTGCAATAATAACCAATATATCAACAACACATTTACAAATAATCAATGGTTTAAGAACACTTCAAATTGTTCATACTGTTCATGATCAAGATATGTTAAATAGAAATGATTTAAAACAAATTATTGAAGAACTTATTGGTAAAAATTGTACTTTAGTTATATCAAGAATAAATGGCTTAGGAAAATCTTATTTAATAAGAAATGAAATTGAAAAAAACGGAAAAACTCACATTAAATTTCCTATTAGTGGTGATATGGATGTTGATATTATTGCAAAACGTTTACATAATTATGGAAATGAATTAACATCATCAAAAGCAGCTTTACATATTGATATTGGAGCAGTTAATAATACAAAACAACTTAATGAACTTCTCTATTGTCTTTTACTTTTTCGAAGTTTTCGTCTAGGACATGTTGCTGTACATATACCTGTTGATATACCAATTTATATTGAACTTGATTCATCACCTTATTCAACTAATTTACAAGATAAAATCGTTCTATTTAAATTTATGAATTCAAAATATATTGATCATATAGATTGGAATGATTTTGTAATCGATCATTCATCATCTGTTCAATTAATTGTTAATTATCTTCAAGCAATAAAAGATCAAACAATTCTAAAACGAAATATAACTGAAGAAACATTAACAAATTTTGATCGACCTACTTGTATTAATTTATTAAAAGAAAGATTTTTACAAAATAAAAATTTAGAATTCGTAACTTGGACACAATTATCAATATTTATATCTGTTTATTATAGTTTATTTTCTGGTTTTTCACGTTGTGGTTTTTTTCTTATTGATGCTATACCAAATCCACAATTACGTTTAGATATTCTTCAAACTTTACTTCAATCATCCAATCAATTTACGTCATTATGTGTTGAAAATGTACGAAAAAATCAACGATCTGTTAATACAAATGAAGTTATTATTTCATTTAGTGAAGCTATTGTTCGTTGGGATAAAACTCAACCATTTACTGTAGTTTTTTCTGCAACAGATAATCCAATATTTGTTTATAAAAATCCAACTGATGTTCCATCATCACTTGTTGAAGCATTTCAATTATATCATGAAATAATAACAGGACAAAATAATCAACAATTAAATGATTTTTTTCCTGATCATAGTAAATTTACACATAAAGATTTTTTTCTTAAACTTGCTTCATTATCAAAAAAATATTTTAATAAATCAATATGTATTAAATGTTATCGACAATATGACTATAATGAAATACAATGTACTGAATGTGAAACAAATGAACTTTTAGTACGACCTATTTCTTCGGCAACTGCAGATATTGAAAATTTTCAAGAATTTATTGCTAATAAACTTCAATTAGAATATGTTTTAACACCGGATAATTACATTAAAATGTTATTAATTTATTTACGTGTTGAAAGTGGTCTTCCTGTATTAATTATGGGTGAAACAGGTAATTTAAATAAATAAAATGAAAGAATTCATAATATCAAGTTTCATTCATATTGTTAGATAGAACATATAGAAGAATGTGTTTAGCATTGAATAGATTCTGAATATCTTTTCGAGTTTTGAATACTCTTTTCAACAATAAGTGAATCTCTTTCTTCTCTCAATTCTGACTTGTTCAGTTTTGACTAGCTCTGTATTGCACATCCTGTGTGTTCTTTTCAAAACAGACAGACTTTCCAATATTCCTTGAAGTAGTCCGACTAGACCTCATGCACTAGTAGACGAAGAGTTATAATGAAAAAATACTGACTCTTGTTTTTAATTTTACTCTTTGTTCAATTTTTTATATAACTAACTCTCTACATAAAATACATTGGAAAAATCTGAACACAAAAGTTCATTTTACACAAACCATTAGATTGTCTCGAGTTTTTCGAGAGACCCCATTCACGCGCCATATGTGGATTAATAGCGACAGGTGTGTCCGACTATGATAATAATTTCTCGCTCTTTTCCGAGCTTAACTTAGCCGCTGTCGCTGAAAAGGTCTCAAGAACTAGAGAAAATTATTCAATAGTTTTCTCTGAACTTGGATTTTTCCTGAATTCAGAGAAATTTGTTTCATTTATTTTTCTAAAATCGTAGAAAATTGCCTTAGTTAATGCCCCAAAGTTGAAGGAAAGTGACCCACCAAAATTTCCGCATCCGGAGCGAGTTTCAACCAAAATTTTTCGTAGCAAGGTATGACCTTTGTCTTCCTTTAATTCCTTCGTCCCTGGATACAGTTTAGCTGCACTGTCTTTCTTTTCCTATTCAATCACAGTTCATTAAATCAAAGTATGAAAAGAAGAAATGAAATACATACCCACATTAAACAAACAAATGTGTCTGACGAGATCCGAGTATTGGAACATTTGTTATTAGTACATATCAGACAAAAAACAAGACAACTATTTTACTCATTCATTTATAATGACCACTTACTGCGAACCAATTGATAACGCAAAACTTTTTCAATTTTATATTCCATCATACATTGGCAATTTCTCTAAATTTTAGGTTGTGGAAAAACTGCATTAATACAATTTTTATGTCAAAAAATTCTCGATGATGAAATGGCAATATTTCGTATTCATGCCGGTGTTACAAGCGAACAAATAATAGATATGTTTCATGAATTTTCTCAAAGAGCACATGGATGTCTTCTACAAAATAAACGTTTATGGGTTTTTCTTGATGAATTTAATACTACACCAAGTATTGGTTTAATTAAAGAAATAACTTGTGAACGAACACTTCTTGGTGAACCATTACCAGATAATATGGTTCTATTAGGTGCTTGTAATCCTCAACGACGTAAAAAAAATAACAAAATTTTTGATAATCATATTGGTATTAAAAAAGATCTTTATGAAATGCAACGTTTAAAACAAGGTTCAGGCGTTTCACTTTTATATACAGTTGTATCAATACCAGAAACTATGCTTGAATATGTTTGGGATTATGGTTATCTTGATGATGCTATAGAAAAGAAATATATTCGAACAATGTTAAATACATGTGAACAATTAGTAGAAAATACCGAATGGTTCAATGTAGTTGTTATAATGATATCCAAATCACAAAAATTCTTTCGTGATCTTGAAGATGTTAGCAGTGTATCATTACGTGATGTAGCACGTTTTTGTCGTCTTTATAATTGGTTTCGAAAATCAATTATTGAACGTGAAGGTGTCGAAAAATTTTCTAAAGATTCACTTGTTCTTCTTCGACGTTCAAGTTTAATAGCTCTTCTACTTTGTTATTATTTTCGTCTTAATTCCCCAATTGATCGAAATAATTATACAAAATTAATGGAAGAAAATCTTGTATCTCGATTACCAATTCTATCAAAAGTTGAAAATTTTCTAGTTAAATTTCTTGAAATGGAACAAAAAAAAATCATTGAACGAATGGATTTACCTTCAGGTACAGCAAAAAATCATGCACTTATGGATAATATATTTGTTATTCTTATTTGTATTGTTAATCGTATACCTGTTATTATATGTGGTAAACCAGGTTGTAGTAAAACATCAGCTGTACAAATTGTAATAAGTAATTTAAAAGGAAAAAAATCATCTGATGAATATTTTCAAAAATTACCAGAATTAATTGCTGTTTCATATCAAGGTTCACAAAATTGTACATCAGACAGTATTATAAAAGTATTTCAACGTGCTGATAAATATTTAGACGTTAAAAAGGATGCAGATATTTTACCAGTGATTGTTTTCGATGAAATTGGTTTAGCAGAATTATCTCCACATAATCCATTAAAAGTATTACATAGTAAACTTGAAGTTGAAACATGTCAATATGGTTTTGTTGGTCTATCGAATTGGCGTCTTGATGCATCAAAAATGAATCGTACACTTTATTTATCATGTCCTGATCCTGATGTAGCAGATTTAAAATTAACAGCTAAAATTATATCAAATTCCTTAATACCATCTGAAGGTCAAATATCTCGAATAGATCCATCAATTATTACAACATTAGCTACTTCGTATTATGAATTATATGAATCTTTAAAAATTCAAGAACAACAAAAATATGTAAATTATTTTGGTTTAAGAGATTTTTATTCATTAATTAAAGGTGTTGTTAATGATTTAATTAAATCAAAAACTAAAGATGAACGATATAAATGTATTCGTCAACAATTAATTATTAATTTTGATGGTGTTCTTGATGGTTCACATTTTATGTGGAATCATTTTTGTGAACAAATACAAAGTAAACATTTAATTGAACAATATAAATCTCCTACATTTAAAGAATTACTTGATCTAAGATTAACATCACGACAAGGACGTTATTTAATGTTAATTGCTGAAAATGAAAGTGTTATTGATTATGTTGAAAGATATATTATTCTTAAACATCAACCACCACCTGTACGAACATTAATTGGTAGTTGTTTTTCAGGTGATTTAGTATCTGGTACAACGTATACTGAACAATATAATTATCGCGTACTAATGGATATAATACTTTATGCTGAAACAAATGTTACATTAATTATGCGTCGTATGGGACATTTATATGATAATTTATATGATTTATTTAATCAAAATTTTGCTATATCAGGAAAGAAAAAATATTGTCGAATTGCACTTGGTGCTTTATATCATCCACGTTGTCTTGTTAATGATGATTTTTATTGTGTTGTATTTGTACGAAAAGAAGATTTAGCAAAATGTGATCCACCATTTCTTAATCGTTTTGAAAAACACATTATTGATATGAAATCACTAGTTCAACAACGTCATTGGTTAATTACAGACAATTTACTTGCTGAGCTTTTTGCATTACTTCCAAGAAATATTAACAAATATTTTCCACTTTTACAACATTTATTTGTTGATTATAGTAATGATTATATATGTAATTTAGTTATTGACGCATTTGATAATTTACAGATTTCACTTGATGATGATGATAATAAAACAATTGATGTTATTAATTATTGTAAAAATAAATTAATTAGAACTAGTTCATGTGATTTACTTTTAATACTTTCAGTACAATCTAATGAATGTCATCCTCTTATAGATCAATATTATGATTTACATACAAATTTATCATTTCAAACAATTATTAAACAAGCATTAAATGAAAAACTTTTACCTAATCAAGTTATTTATACATATACACAAATCTATCATATGATTAATTATAATTCTAATGAAATTGAAGAAGTTAAATTAAGTATATTTAAAAGTGAACTTGAATTAACAAATAGAATCAAACAACATTATCAAAAAAAGGATAATTATCGTTTATTAATTATTCGTGTTGATTATCATCAAGAACATGAACATATTTTATTATTAAAACATATTTTACTTAATTCAAAAATTCAATCGACTGATCGAAGTGTTTGGTTAATATTTCACCTTCAACGTAATATGCTTAATCAAACAACAAATGAAGTTTTATTTAATGGTTGGTCAACTATAATGATTAATGATTTGAATGAACATAAATTAATACCAAAACCAGTTTTACTTGATCCATCGTATCTTGATTTAGTTACTCATCCAGATTTTCTCTTATCGGAATCTACGCTTGATGAAATAATTGATCGATGTTTAACAAAATTTCGTTATACAGTTTCTCATAAAGATCTAATGACACAAATAAATATTCGACGAAATCAAATCACTGAATATTTAACAATAACTATTGAATCACAATCCTTACGTTCGATAATTCAAAAAAATTTATTGAACTTAATCAAAGATATAAAATTAGATCGATTTATTGATTGGCGTCAAGATTTATTAACAAATGGAATATTAATCGGTACATGTCGTTCATTTAATGATGCATTACAATCAACTATTTCAATATATTATGAAAGTTATCTTTTATTATTATTTTCTCATTTTGAAAAATATTCATTTATTGATTCATTTTTATTTATGAGTAAAAATAAAAATAATTATTTATTAAATAAAATTTGGTTTGATTGTTTAACATCAACAATAAAAAATATTGATATAACAATAATGAATGTTGATGTTATTGAAATGCCATTAATATTTAATTTACATTTACCATGTCCTATACAAGAATATGAAATAATTCGTTCAATACGTCAAATAATTCTACAACGTCGTGATGATAATATTAATGATGAAGATTTAATGAATCTTGCTATTAAACAATTACGTACAAAAAGTATATATGAATCAAATATTGAAATTATATTTAATGATAATGATTTATTTCGATATTATTTTAATGATCAATTATTACTTGCACAAGATGAAGCAAAAATTTATCAATTATCTTCATTATTTATTAAATGTTTACTTATGACAAATCAAACAAGATCTATTATTGATCAATTAAGACATTTACTTATTGATTATAATGAATTATTTGAAATTTTACGATTATTTGAAATTAGTAAAAAATTAATCGATGAAAATGATTTTATCAATCAAATATTTAATCGACAATTAATTATTTCAGATGAAACAGATATGAAAATAAATAAAAATGATAGTATATTTTATAATCTTGTTTTAACAGATGAACATTTTTCTTTAATTCCACCAAAATCCGAAATGTCTAGTGAACATATATTAAAATGTGAAGGTGATCCATTTATTGAAGTTAGTTTAATGAATCTAATTGAACTTCTTGTTTCTCCATCTATTATTGATCGTATTGATAATATTGAACAATTAACAACAACATATTGTCTTGTTGCTCAAGGTATACTTGGTTTAACACATTATTCAGTAAATAATCTTGAAAAAATACGTTCATTTATTAGTCTTATTCGTTGTATAACAACTTTAATATCGACTAATAAAGCATTAGATGTTTTTAAACAAGCATGTAGTTATGGTGGTTTTGATGCAACATTTAAAACATGTGATGATATACATAGATTTATTAATCTTTTACAAAGAATTATTAGTACAAATGCACCAAATATAAATGAAACAGTGATACAACGAACATTACTCAAACTTGAAAGTGAATTTTTAAAAAATTGGCTTGTTGATCATACTGATCAATATTTAGATATAATTACATTAATGAGTAAATCTAATAATAATCTTTGGCAATATTCAGCAAAAATTTTTACTTATATTGATCGAAAACTTCAATTATTACTAATGATTCAAGATTTTAATGGACAATTACCATCGATTGAAAATTCTGAAAAATTAGATGAAAATTTACGCGAATTAATGGATAAATATCAACAATTTGATGAACATTTACAACAATTAAATGATACATCACGAAAAATTGAACATATTATGGTTACTCGTATTCATATGCATCTTATATTAAGTGTAAATAATAAAGAAATCATAGAAAATATTCTTCAAGAACATTTTAATCAATTTGAAGAAAATATACAAATAATACAAAATAAACAAAACCCTTATAGTTTAACATTAATTAGTTTAATATCTTGGTTAAAATATTATGCACAACTTTATACTTTTGTTCTTATTAATGATAGTCATCATGCTATATTAGAAGATATTGATAAATTACTCACACGTGATGATTTTCTATTTTGTTCAACTATTAAATTATTTATTATTAAACAATTATGTCAAATGTCGAATATTACACTTAATGATTTTCGTGATATTATTGTTAATCGAAATGTTACTTGGATTCAACCAATGATTGCTTTACCTACAGGTCAAAAAACAAAAGAAGTTCAACGTAGTCTTACTTTACCAACACCTTTATTTGAATGTTATGATGAATTTCTTCGAGTTGATCGTATTCTAACACATAATACTAATATTCATGAAATACGACAATTAATTATTCAATGTCAAAAAAAACAAGATACATTCTATTGTTTTATTATTTGGTTTATTCATTATTATGCACGTTTCTATATAAATAATGATACATCATTAAATAATTATTATCAACAATTAATTGAAAAAGAACTTAGTAAAGAAATAATTGAATGTTTTGATTTTCTTGGTTACAAATTACTTGTTTTCTTATGTACAAATTTTAATAAGTCAACTTATTTTTGTTTAAATTCAATAATGACAATCGATGAACTTCATCAACGTTTAATTGCTTTAAATATTATTGCTCTATTATTATCATTAAAAACTTTATGTCATACATCTTATTTAAGTAGTCTTCTATTTGATGGAAATCTTAAAATGCCACAAAATTATACAACTCATATGCAATCATCAGTTTGTTTACCTGGTCTTATATCAAGTAATCCAATTATTACACAAATGATTGATGTACGTACAACTGTTAAAGAACGTTTAGATCGCGGTCACATACATGAACCAGGAAAATTTGTTTTTAAATGTTCAAAAGATTGTTTATATATGTTTTATTTTGTTAATTGTGGTGTACCTGTTGATAGGAGTAAATGTCCATTTTGTAACAAAGATATTGGTGCAGCACAATATGGTGTTCTTATTGAACGTAATCCACCACAAATTCAAATGACAATTGATGAAGGTTTTCAATTTATTAATAATTATATTGAAGAATATAATAAAAAACCAAGATATGGTTATCATAATCAAACACCAGCTATACAAAGTAATCAACATGAAAAATCTGATCATTTAAATCGATCAATATCATATCGTTTCATGCATATGATAACACATGTAACTTTATTATTTCTTAATGAATTATCTCTATTACCAGATTTTGGTCTAAAAAATCCTTTACATTTTAAAGAACATTTTGAAAAAGATCTTCAACTTCTTAGTCAACAATTAAATGATAGTGAACAGTGTTATATATGGTTATATAAAATAATTAATCATATGATTAATAAAGATTTTATTATAAAAGGTTTTATGAATACAAATGAAAAAGTTATACATATAGAAAAACTTCTTGAAGAAAAACTTCTATTTAATCATATTGAATCTATTGCAAATGAAATCAATCAATATAAAATTGCCTATAATGAATATATTCGACAACAAAATCAAGAAGCATCATTTGAAGATTTTTTTGATGAAATTTCACAAGATGAAAATAAATATCCATTATTAAATTTTTTTAATGTTACAAATATTTATACATCAAATCCAATAGATGAATTTCGTATAAGACTTCAAACAATTCCCTATGGAGACAAAATTTATCCAATAACGACATTTTTAATGAAACGTCTTTCAGATTATGCTAATATTCAATATCTTTATCCAATTGTTACATTTACAAATTATCTTATTGAAAAATTTAATCATCGTATTAAACGTAATGATGCATCGGAAACTACAATATCATATTATTTAACACATGGCTCAGATTGTGAAACAATAGCTCAACTTTATAATGGTTTTATTCAGGCTTGGTATAAACTTAATTTAAATGAATTACAATATGGTTGCCAACCAACTAAATTTGAATTACCATTATCACAAGAAGATTTTGCAACAAATACAAAACTTGCTATGGTTTTATTAAATACAACTAAAGATGAAAGTAGTATTTTATTAGCTGCATGTTTACGAACAATAGGTCAATTACAAAATGAAATTGTTCATTTTTTTCATAATAAAATAGTTAATGATGCTGATAATAATCGTTATCATCAAAATGCAATACCAATTCAATCAATTCGACCAGAACATATACTTCGTCTTGATGCAGATGTTATTAGTACAAAATTAATAACTGATGGGTTTACTATCAGTTATCAATATGGTAAGAGTCGAGATATTATTTATGATTATGAAGAAATTGAAATAACTTTAAGAAATATGATCAGTTGTTTACCATTAATTGATACAGAAAAATTACGTTTTCTTAATTATCAATTTGAACTTTATAGTGAAAATACATCATTAATAAATGATGTTCGAACACGTATTAAACAAGAATCATTAAAACAAAATGAAAAAGCGAAATTAAAAAATTTAGTAAATGGTATGCAAAATGATGATATACTTCATTATCTTGGTTCACTTGATTATGTATTTACATATTTACGTAATATTGATAGTGAAACAACAAATGATTCATTAACAATTCAATCATTTGTTGAAAATTATATACGTTCAAGTGTTTGTCTTAATGATAATGTTCTTCAACGTCCACCATTTGCAACAGTTAATCTTAAATATATAATTGATCTATATGAATTAATAGAAGAAACTGCATTTGATAAAGTTTTACGTCATTATATAAAACAAAATTTAACTGAAGAATTATTTGCTATTGAACAACGACAAAGTTTAATTAGGAAATTTAGTGATATGACATTTAAAAAAGAAACTATTGCACCTTCACTTAAAAATATAAATTCATGGATTGGTATACTTAAACGTTTAATGGTACGTGTTTTATCAAATGTTAATGTTAGTCTTGATGCACCTATACAAATTTATCTTGAACGAACTGATTTATGGACTGGAAATATAATTGAATCTGATATACAAACATTCGAAGTTAAGGATGAAATACTTTTACAACATACATATATACTTTTAAAAGGATTAGAATATGAACGAGATAAGTTATCATTAACAAATACTAAACCAATAGATATTGAACAACAATCAACATTACAAAAAAATCTATTACAAAATTCCGAAACACAATTATTAAAAGTAAAAACTTGGCATAATGATAGTATTAGTAATGCTAGTATGATGTCAAGAGTTATTAAAAGTGATAAAACTACAATTAAAAAAATGCGCGTCTAATCATTAAAAAATACAAACAAACATTCTCTTCTATAATTTTCGTTGTAAAACATTATCAATTCATTTGTTTTGTTATTTTTATTAATTTAAGAATAAACTAGAATAAAAAGAAAAATTTTCAATAGTTTTAAATGATTAATTACACATGACAGACATACAAAATAAACTTATTGCGTTGAAAAAAGAAATATAGTCATAACAATTGAAACTACAGCAGCCATAAGTATATGTATAGCAAGAAGAACATTTTTTGATTTTTTTTCTGACGTATTTTCGTCATCATTAACAAAATGAGTTAATGTTATTGTTGAAGGTTTTGGACTTTCTACAATTTCGCCAATTGTTGTACTCGATACATTTATATTTGAATAACCTGATTCATTCAATTTCTTTCGATAATAAGATTGAATAATTTCAAATATAATAAATATTAACACAATCCAAACAATCCATACTATCATAAGAATTCGAGCTTTTGTATCTTTCAATACTTTAAAATAAGTAGCTAGAAAAATTGTTGAAATTGAAAGAATTAATGTTGAAAAGCCAATAAATCCATGAATATAATTAAAAATAAATCTATATCGACTATCAGGTTCACAACGAAATAATGCCATAAAAGGTTGAAAAAATGCAAAACTTATTACAATTACACCTGTTATGGAATGTGCATAGTATCGTGTTGGACCTTGGTCTACCCATGTGCCTTGAAGAAAGACCAAAATAAATAAAAATCCAAGCACTGTAAGAATTGCAGCAGTGCTCATAAGAAATCGATGAGCAGCAAACCATGCAGCTTTACCACAAATTAAATGATTTGCCCAAGGATTTTTGAAATAACGTGCAATAAGTGCACCTGTTGAAGCGATTAATATCCATGTAAAGATCATTATAGTTCCATGAACTCGTACAAATGTAAGTGACTCTCCATCATCAGTAGTGTTTATCTTATAAAGAATTGTTTTATTTTGATTTAATTGAACAATCTGAGATAGAGCTGTATGTGAATCCTCAAAATGTTTTTGTGGCTCATCTAAAATATACGTAGAAAAATCATAAAAATGAGATCTAATTTAAAAACAAAATACTATTAATTTACTTATGCCATACCAAAAAGAGTGACAATAATACGATAATACCTTATAAAAGGATAGAGGAAATTTTCTCTATAGATAAAATTGAATGCATGGTGAAAATTGAAGATATAAACGATTTTTTACAACAAGGATGCATTGCATCACATGTATGTCTTATAATTATAATATGAGAACATAATGAATAGTTATAAGCACTAATGAAATTCAAAGTTAAATTTTTTTGTCTAAATACTATAAACGATGGTATAAAATATAGAATCATTCTTGATAAATTTTAGATAGTGCAGCAAAATAAAATAAAATCCAGAGAAAAAATGAAAATTTTTTATTTATAGTATTTAATATGATTTTATTTGCTTAAATTAATTAGTTAAAGTTGTTTATAATTTATAATATTTCATCGTTCTTCAACTAGTATAATAATATTACAATATCGACTAAAGTAGTTCGCTTCTGATTTAGATGGATACGAAAAACTTTTGTACTGCATTATCTTTTTTTTCAGCGATCATGTTTCATCTTTCAGAACACTTGAAAGATTATATGAATGACTCCGTGAAGGACAAAGTACGATCCAATTGATCTATAATCGAATAATATCCGAAAATATCAATCAGATCATTGCCTTATCAATGATGATCCTTATATTACAATTGACGAATTGTAAGAGCAAATTGATTTGAGGGATAGGGGACCTAATAAATCATTTCCGATCATGATAAACTTAAAAGAGTTATTACTAGTTATATAAAGAAACAATTGACCTTTATTATGGTCATGAAAAATATGATTTGAATTACACGTCTAGTAGGTCATTCGTTATCTTCAATCTCTTTTCGTCCTTCGCGACACGATTCAGGTCATTTTTCAATTGTTGTGAGAGGTGGAGTTTGATCGCCGAAAACAAATATAATGTAGTACAAGCTTTAATGTAGCAACGAACGTTTTTCTTATTCATGTAAATCAAAAGGAGAATAGCTGTAATCGAAATTCTAATATAATCACACCAGCTGAGGAACAGTGAAATACTGAAAGAACATTTTTTGCACTCGTAGTATATATATATATATATAGATAGATAGATAAAAAATTTCCTCGTGCCTTCTATGAGGTATTACAGTGCTACTGTTACTACTTTTGGTAAGCCCTAAAAGTAGCTCATCTCAAAATTCTATTATCAAGAAATTTAGATTTAGTATTTGAAATATTTTTGAAATGAAACAATTGTAAATTAATTTTTCATTGTTTAAAAACGAATGCTTTGCTCTGAAAAGATAACTTACTAGTGCCATTCAGTAATCCAGCGGCAAACAATGGATGATAGCTGGTTGATTGAGAAAGTGGTTGAATAGTTTTCAGTTGTCGAAATGTTTCAGATTCAAACTGTGACAAAGTGAACTGACAAGTCACAATTCCTTCATTAAATTGTTGTTGATCAGGCGTAAATACACCACCTTGTTCTGATCCAGCAGATTGTGGACGTTGATGATTATTAGGATTCATATATCGATTTACAACAATTGTATCATTAGCAAGTCGTTTACACATAAACACATGAGCCTCACCCTACGAAAGAAAATTGCTTTGACATATGTGTATTTAAAATATTATTTCCTACAGTCAACATTAAAAAAAATATTATCATTATCCTGTAAGAAAACTTTTAGAATGAAAACTAATTCGTATTATTTTATTTTTCTAAGTTAGATTTGTTCAATAATAACCAATATTTAGCAAAGCTCATAATTAATGGTTACTTTCTAATAGAAAGTAAATTACAAAAACCTTCAGATACATGATGAAAATTATTTTTTCATATTTACCATAGCTTCTTTTAATCCAAGACCTATAGCAGCCCATTGTCCTGATTTTAGATGGTTCACAGTCATAAGAACACTTGTAACATTGTTTACACTGTCAAATATCCATGTTACATTGACGGAAACATCAGCAGCAGGTGAAGGAGTTCGCGTTGTGTTAGCAGAGCTTGAAGTAGTTGTTAATGTACTTGTTGTTGGCTGTGTGCTACTAATTGTTGTGGTAGTATCTTGTGTAGTAGTGGAAGATGTAATTGTGGTGGTAGTATTTGGGCCAAGACTTGTTTCGCCAGGAAATGATGAATGATTGATAGTCTATAAAAATTAATTGTTATCATTTCGTATTTATGTTGATACAAAATTCACGAACTCGGATATAAACTTAAATAAAACTATATTTTTTTTAGTTTTCACTTGAGTGTTGAAATCGTTAGTCGGACTAACTAAAACCTTTTGACGTGGGATTTTAATTGGTGATAGAGGCAACACTGAGCTGTTGAATGAGAAGTCTAAAACATCATAGGATTTGTTTTTCAGGCTATGATACCCTCGTCTAACGAAAAACTCTACATTGATCTTCTAGCTTTTCTCCATATGAAGGTCGATTAAGTCCTTGCGATCAGAATTCAACAAGCTCTATTTGTGATCAAACTATCAGACTAAAGGATACAAATTTAGATACTTTTTACCTGATAGCTGGACTTTTTGCAACTACCGCAAGAGTTCATAAATTTTGTAATAGTGATATCTAACTTATGAAATGTTGAATAACTTTAAAGAACTAACAACTATTAAGATAATTTCTTCAAAAAAGATTTCGAACTGTACATTTCCTATTTGTTGAGTAAATACTTACTTGTGAAGTTAAAATGATACCATAACAATCAATATAAATTATCTTGTCATTTTCAATAATAATTGCTCTAAATAAAAATAGATATGTATATATATATTTGCTTCATTTAGTACAAAATTTTATACTTGATCATGACATCTCCTGCAAGGTTTGATGAAGGATACCAAACTGCTTCAATACTAGTTTTTTCTACTTTTGATTTATGCATCAAACCACCACACGATACACTTTCAATTAATAAATCCTTCGTTTTCCAACTTCCAACATTAATATTTTTAGTATCCTGAGCGAATAAATAAATTCCAATGAATTCTTTATCTGGTATATTACTGCGAATAGTGACTATATGTAACACGAAACATAAATGTTAAAATTCATTTTCTGAATATGAATAATAGGAACTCACCATGAATGGGCTCATCGACTGAATAAGTAGATGTTGAAGGTTCGATGATAAAATCAGACGAACAAGCTGTAGGGTTTACATTATATTGCTCAAGTATTATTTTATCACATGTACTTGAAAATTTTCCATCTGAGAGATTTATTCCCTTATCGAACAATGAAGATATTAAAAGTAACAATAAAACGGAAATTTTCATCTAAAAAGCAAAAGAAATATTTGAATCTGATTTTTATCAGAGTCAAGGATAAAGTAAAAGAAATACTATTTTGTTTTTCATATCAATCATACGTGAGGAATGTCTATTTATCATTTCAATTGTATATTCGAAATTTCTAAAAAATTTTCTTGATTATTGATAACTACAGTTTTCATGAATAAATAAAAAAAAAAGGAGAAGAAAAATATTTGAATAGAATAGTAAGAAGCCGACATTATTTATAATAGATAAGAAGTACTGTGTAGCTTGTCGTTTTTGTTTGATAATGCAATGTAATAGACCTACTTGTTGTGATATATTTTTTTAATGACATTTACTAAATATATAGGCGAGTTAAATTTGTAATCTTTTATCATTATTTCAAGTCAGTAATGATGATGCGATTTTTTTATACTGATAAAAAATGATGATTTCGGATTGTTTGCCATTGCACAACGAAATTTCGTATTTTAAAACCATGATTATGCATTTTATTAAAGAACCTGATGAAGACAAATTTGATTGCAATGAGTATTCATTTTAATAGACCAAATTTATCGTAGAGAAGAAATTATATGATAAAAATATGTGTTAGGGTCTTTGTAAATGAAAACAAGATTGTTTAAAGTATATATTCATTCATTTTATGAGTGAAATACTCTTATTAAACTTTATTTTCAACAAAAGCTTAAAATTTATATTTCTAATCTTCTACTCTCCATTGGTCATTGGGGTGACCACTGGTAAGATAATTGTGAAGGACAAAGAAACGATATTATAATGTTGTAAAAAATATTCATAAGTTATACATCAGTAGAAAAATCATATTGTTATCTTGTTCGGTACGAGAAAGTGGTATTTGATAAGTCCTGTCAAATTTTGTATGATCTCTGATAAAATCATTATTCTGGTGAAAAATGGAAATCATTGCAAATTGATGGGCTTAGAATATATTTCTATCATATTGATAGAGATATAAAATTGTACAAGATAATTAAAAATGTATTATTTTCTTTAATCGACTATTTGTTTTGTTTGCACTGTATTCTTTTCTGTAGAGACCATCTATTGTTCTACAATGGTTGGAGCCTCTTAAGATATTACCAACGAAATGGAGGCAATTGTAAACAATTAATGTCATTCATTTCGATTTTAAAAGATCAACTGAAACTTGTCATTTGAAACATTTTAAAAATTAAATTTGTATTAAATGCAAAAATTATAGAACAGAAAATCTTAGTGTAATTTATTTTTCGTTGTTAAATATTCGCAATTCTATCAGTTAGATTCAACAATAACATATGTTAAAATGAAATACATTGAGATGAATGATTAAAGATAAAATTTTATTTCAAATGTTTCACTAATATTAAAAATACATATCAAGATTCTGTATGACTTCGATATAAAAATTTACTATTGATAATGGTGTCTTTTTTATGCTTTCAAAATCTACAATGTACTAACATAAAGATGGTCTATTGTACATTTTTATTTTCATAGAACAACATGTCAACCTTTTTTAGTAAATAGACAAGTTTTATGTGAGAAGTGTTTATTTAATATGTCATACACTATCGCTTAACAGAAGACAAACACATCACATATTCGAACTACTCAGTTTTTTCTTTTTTGCATTAAAATAGATTTCGATAAAATTCCCTTGTAAGAAAAAAAAACATTATATTTAATCAGTCCTTGTAATATTCAATTGATGATAATTCGGTTGTTTTGGAACATTTTTAAGTAAAGGTGCTAAAATTAATGTTCCTACAGTTAATAAAATTGTCATTGAAATATATAGATAAAAAAGACAACGATCAATAACTAATGCAACATTTTGCCAATCTAGTATAATAGCATCTTCTTCGGTTTCAGTTGAACGTAAAATAAGACGATTAAGGTCATTAAGAAGACGTTTACATTCATTTAATGATTGTGGTGCCGTTTGAATATTTGATATTGATGATGAATCTGTATTTAAATTAGTTTCATTTACTGTTGTTGGCCGAACTGTATGTGATGATGATTGTTGTTGACTGTTTGATAAAAGATCATGTTCATTTAAAAAAATAGCATTATAAACTGTTGTTGAACGACGCGGAGCTATTAGTGTAGAACGTCGTGGATGTTTTTGATTATTTGATTTTGTTCCACGATGTAAGTGAACGTGTAGCATTGGTGCTAGATGATGAAATAATATACGACGTACTCGAGGTGAAATTGGTTTTAAAGCTGAACCATATAAATGAACATTAAGTAAAACAACAGCTAATAAAACTGATAAACTTGTAAAACTCATAACTAATGTAAAATAGATACCTTTAAAAAAATTTATTTAATAAACTTTTTTTAAATTTTATTTCATATAAAATTAATTTACCAATTAAAGGAATAAATTCACTTGTTGCTGGCATTGACTCAGCAATTAATAACATAAATACTGAAAAAGCAAGAAGAACGGTTAAACCTAATGAAACTTTTTCACCTGATTCTACTGGTAAATAAAATGTTAAACATGTTAATATTGAAAGCATTATACAAGGTATCATTACATTATATATATAATATAATGTTCGACGCCGTATATGAAAGTAAAATTTTAGATCAAAAAATGATTCATCACAACATGGATACGTTAATTTTGATAGAATAGTCCATGATGATAATAATTTCCATTCACCTTAAATTTATAAAGAAAAATAACATTATGAAAAGAATATTATTTACCATTATCTACATAATTAGCAGTATCCACAGATTCTGAACGATTTGTTAAGATTATTTGAGTAGAATCATACGTCCATGAACCGAATTTTAAAAAACATAACTGATCATCGAAGGGAAACCTTTTTTGAAGAGAAAAACACAAGAAAATCGAGAACTTTTTATTTTTAATAAAAATTCTTCATTTACCAAGTTATATCAATTTTACAAGTTGATCGAAATTTAACAATAGGCGGCCAAAAGACAGTACCATTAGAATCAATCATTGCTAATGCTTGCATATATCCTTGTGTATAATCTTCAGCAGAATTATATAAAACAATATCAGGTAACCAAATGTGTCGGCATGGTATACGTATTTTTTTCAAACCACCAAAATCTTCTGGATTCCATCTCAAGAATTCATCATTCCATTCCTTTTATAAAAATATTATCAAGATTATTATTGAAAAGTTCATGATGTGTATTTTGTTTTTGTTCGTTCATAGTTTTTTATTTTATTGTCAAATAACCAAACAAGATTTAATCATTTTATGAATCAATCAGAATAATTCTTTCTTATTTTCTTATCATGAAAGGACTATTTTGTGGTTCATTCCACTTGGTTCAATTTAGAAAACTTAATTTAGTTGCCAGATAATTTCTAATGCATCTGCCTAGTTGTCATCTTAGGCGAATTCTCAGAATATTTATGAGTAATACATATATCTGATCTCCAAATAGAAATCCCATCATACTTAAATAAACCCAAGATTCACTTAAAAAAAACAGATTAAATAGCTTCCTGAAAAGAATTCTTGCCGTTAGCTTATTACTGTGGAGATACTGCACTTTTTATGATAGTTTTTAAATGAAAGCTGTAGTAACAGAAAAACTGATTTTTAAATTTCGACTTGAAACTTTGCATAGAGCCAAGCTTTAACGAGAGTAGTTTCAACTCTTTTGATTTGCTTCTATTCTGCAATAAGAACATCAAATCTGCCTATCGGCATAAACGATGTAAAGCACCCATTTGAAAAATTCCGTAAAAGTACACTATCTCCTCAGTAATAAGCTAAGGGCATGAACTCTTTTAGGATATTCATTGTTCAACTGGGTCTACATAATGTACATAGCTTTGGTCAGAGATGTGCAAGACCGCAACTTAAGTTTATGGTAAAGTATTCTATGGTTTTAAGTAAATTATCTTATAAACATAGTTCAAAATAGATGGCCCCAAAAAAAAAGAAGTAGATGCGATACGAATAAATTCTGAAATACGTTTCTCTCACATTTCTAATCTCGACTGAAAAGCGATGTGCGTGTTCGAAGATTTTCCTTGTAAGAAATTTGTTACTTGTTTTTTCATTAGAAAACAACATAATATCAATATTCAAAACAAATGTTACCTGATCCAGCCAAATATTAGTTGTCATTATTTGATTACGTTCATCCTAAATATACAAAACAATAAACGATTGATATTATATTTTTATTGTATGTAACTTACAATATCCATTATTTGTGTTAATGTTATACCAAGTTTGACAACTACTGCTTCTGATGATTTTCTAATTGGTCTTACGGCTTTTTCATAACCAGTCATAAGTGTATAAAAAAGACGTTGTTCATCAGACATATTAGCAGTATTATGCATTGCTCTGTCTATAATTAATGGTAATGGAGTTGTCATTGTTCCAACAAACGAATGACATTTTCGACAACGTGTTAATAAATAAAAAACACTAGCCAGTATTATATTTAACATCGATAGATTATAATATCCACTAAAAAACCATCGTTCTTGCATATTTTAAATCGAATAATTGACAGATATTTTTCTTTCCAATATCAATCACATGATTTTACACAAATGAATTCTTGTTGTTTGATGACATAAACAAAAATCAAATTAATATATAAATATGGTCCATATGCTTTGGTTTTGTTGTGATAATAATAATCGAGATAATATGGTGTATGGATGTTGAAGAATACTTAGTGCCTAAAAGAAAGCATATTTCTTCTATTTATTACTCTTGAATATATAGTCTGAGAATACTATAAAAGAAAGAAACTGCTTCTACTTTCTATGATCGTAGCATGTGAATCAACTTTTTTCTCTCTCAATAAAGTCTTTTTTGAAAAACAAATGACAAGAATAAAAATTGTACAATTAGTCAATAGTTTAATGCTTCAATAAAAGCACTTCTATGCTTAACTAGTCAAGCAATTACATTTTTATAGCATTAAAAAGTTGTATTCGAATAATTGAAAATGTTCCGCTCTATTGAACAACACGTTTAGAAATGAAAATTGTATTTTTTTAAACATCATACAAAGTAAATATACTTGTTTGGCCGAAAATTTTACTATGATCTTAGAAAATCTGCTTGATTACTTTCAATTGAAATTTCACATACAATAAAATCATATACAGAAAAACAATATCCGATTTATTGTTTGAATAAATACTGAAGACGTTGTAATTAATCGATTGAGTGAATTGTTTTTCTTTGCTCTGATTTCCAATGGTGACTCGATCGAGGGGGATATAACACTTGTCTGATCGTTGAAAACTTTTTATTTTTTCCCAATAGAGCTGAAATTCTTTTTTGGCATCCTGATAGAAGAAAATAGTTTTCCTTTGCAAAAAAATGCAATACCACCAAATGTTGACTGCTTCGGAACACTACTGCTGATTTCATTAGTTACCTGTATTAGTATGCTGAGCATTTTTTTGTCTTTCTTATTGTTGCACATCACATTTCTAAAGTCGCCAACAATAATCGTGTTTTTGTGATCGATGAAAGAAGAAAAATAGGCAAATCCTTATTATTATTCATTGATAAGATTAAAAGAGAAAAGAGAAATAATACTTGATTGGTTAATATAATTATCGTTAGTTATATTTTCGTGCATGAACGATGGAAAAAAGAACTAGGAGACATGATCAAAAATACATACGTAAGCAGAACGTAATTACATTTGGGATTTATAGCATTAGTCACGTCATTTTGGTAAAAAAACAAGAAAATTTTATTGCTCTTACGGGTGAGTCGCCGAGAGCAAAGAAACCATTACAGATTTTCAGTCACTACCAACGTGACATAAAAATAACTATTCAATTTTCGATATTTAGTATCATCTACATCAATGCTCTTCCTATGCTAAAAAGTATCGGATTTTAATCAACTCAATAAAAAGATAATTGATTTGAAGCCATTTGTTTTTCAGCATCTTTTTTTTTTTGCATGATTAAGCATAAAATGATATCGTATTGCGAAGTATGACATGTGTGTTGAAGCTTGCTTTAGTGTTGTACCGATCATTTATTGAGTCATCGAACCCGAAAGATTATTCAAAACGCTTGTTAGCACAGCTTCTTTAGGATTGAAACCTGGAACACACATGTCTTCTTTAGCTTTATTATACTAATACGAAATATGCAAAGTGTATAATCTCTAAAAGACAATAGTTCTTTTCCAACGATAATCGTTTTTCAACAAACGCTCTGTGTCTTTTACATTTCTACATATCGAGCAAACATTTAGTTTTCTTTTGTTTGACTGACGCTCTTTTTTCATTTGGTTTGTTTCTATTCACATAGGAATCATTTTCTTTTCATAATTTATTATTGTTAGTCTAACCATTGATTTAATAGACGAATCCGCCTCTTGTACACAATCATGATATCTACAGCTGATCCTTATAATCTATTATGTATCTTGATGAACTTGGAAAGACAAATACTGATTATTTCCGAAGGTTAGAAGTACATTAGCTCATGCTTTTGTTTTGCTCATACGACCAGTCGTGAGAAACCATTATATCATCTATGATATTTATCATATAATCGTTTATCTGTGTAAAAATAAAAAACTGCGTTAGATAGAACATTGAAAAACGTATTCCAGTTATTTAAGTTTCAAGTTCGATTTAAAATTTACACTCGCTCTTTTCTTCGACAATGCACGTGAGTTTCTATATTAAAACTCTAGAGAAACACATTTTACAGTCATCGTGACTCGAGCAGAATGATCTGATTACAATTAGAATTTTTTTCTATTTACCCGAGTTGCTTAGTTTCCTATTTCTCAGTTCTCTACCACTATTGTCTATGCATTCCATTTGGATGTTATAGCTCGAACAATCAAAAAGTACGACTTAAAATTTGATATTTTGTATTCATTTCCATTGCATGATGACGTGTTCTCTTGCTTTTCATATACTATAGACTGATGTGGATTGGTCATATATCTACCATTATAATCCTCTATCTATAGTGTATATCTGAGATTTTTACCTTTTGGTATTCGTGCATTATCACGGTATAATTTCAAGTATAGCGACTTTCATAAGCTATTACAAGTTTGATTTTCATTTGCACACTGAAGCTTGTTTAATATATTTACTATATGATATGCATATACGAAGTTAAATACTAATATATTGCGGGATAACTTTTTATATTATGGTTTCTTTTTGTTTTATGGCATATAGAATTCATCTGTTGGTAGTAGTACTGGTCCTGGCGGAGAGACACTGCGTACTGACAGACTTACATTACAAAAGAAAATACTGAAACCTAAGTATAAAACTACAGCAGCATATGCATGTTGGTACAATAGATGAATTAATAGCCAAATCTTCTACTGTAGTAATAGATAATCATGATATTATCAATGATCATGTGAAGGAGCTTGATGCTTTTATGGGTGAAATGGAAGATAAATACGTAGAAGAAGAGAAAATAGAAGATGAGTGTAGCTCGTCATATAATATGATGTTTACACTGCTCAATAGACATATAATTAGCTTTCATTAATTATTTTAATGTGTATTGTATCATCTATTTTATGTAGTATGAATTTCATTCTGGCAGTGCATATACTACCTTTCTTTTTTCTGCTTCTTTCTTTTAATGTGTTTGTTCTATATTGGATTGGTACATTTTATTAGATACTGCAAGTCATGTTATGTGTTCCTACCCAGGACTAGCATTAAGAGAGTCGTAAACGATCGTATATGACATCGTATGTGATCCTGTGCGGTCGCATGCAGTGTAAATTAAGATCGTATACAACCGTATTTTGCCGTATTACTTGACGTCAGAATTACGGCGGTATGTCGTCGTGTTGTAAACGATGTTTATATGACCATTGTAAACAATCGTACATGTTTGTATTGAATGTCGTTTGTCATCGTATTTCACATAAGATTTTCGTATCCTCCTCCTCTACTCTCCAAATAACACCAAAACCTAACATTTGGGGTGTCCTGTCTGGCTAAAGGTCCCACTTCTTTCTTTCTCATGTAGCTGCAGTGATGTATAAAAAAAAATGCTTGTTTCACGAGTTATAGTACTGTCCAGTACTATAACTCATAAAACAATCACGTTTTTTTCATATATCTTCGAAGCTGCCCGAGAACAAAAGAAATGGAACCTCCAGCCAGGCTGGGTACCCCTATTAATTTAAGGTAGTACGTATTTTGTGATTTGTCGTAATAAATAATTTAACAATAAAAAGAAATTATTTAAATAAGTTCATACTTATTGTTTGATGTATCGTTCTAATTTATCTTAACATAAAAAAAAGATTATTAAAATAGATAATTACTTTTCGATATATCATTATAAATAATCTAAAGATAAAAAAACATTTTTAAACAGATTCGTATTTAGTGTTTGATTTGTCGTTCTAGTTTATCTAAAAATAAGCAATAAAATTTATTTAAATAAATTAATACTTACTATTCGATTTATTGTGATAAATACAATACTGGGCATCATTTTTCGGACGATAGTATTTTGCGTATAACTATCTTATAAAGTGAGCTTTTCAGGCGCGACTTCTACTAAAATTGTTGTCAGTATCTATACTATATCTACAGAAAGTTCCATCCCTGAATGTTGAGTTATAATAAAACTGAATACATAACAATTAGCAGTAGTCATTTTCGATTGGGCAATTTTGTTTTAACGATTTTCCAAATTGAGTTATTTGTTCAAAAATTTTTCACAAGAGTTGACACCGTATTAATAGAGAGAGCACAATATCAGCTACATCTTGATAATAAAAACTTGTTAAAAGCAAAATATCTATGAAATGAAATGCTTGTTTTATGACGGACAACTGGCAACGTTCATGTGAACTCTCTATCATTTTTATATAGTAAGTGATTTTTCTTTTCAAATATTTTATTCGAAAGAGCGTCTGACACTATAAGATAGTAGATGATTTGAAATTTCCCGAAAAATGTTCTTCGGTATTGATAAGTCATTTTCTGGAAAATTTGCAGCATCAGACGCTCTTTCGAATAAAATATTTGAAAAGAAAAATTACTCGCTATATAAAAATGATAAAGAGTTTACATGAACGTTGCCAGTTGTCTATCATAAAATAAACATTTCACTTCATAGATATCTTGCTTTTAAAAACTTTCACTCATGAAGATGTAGCTCGTATTGTGCTCTTTCTATTTATACGGTGTCAACTCTTTTGAAAATTTTTTTGAACAAATAACTCAATTTGGAAAATTGTTAAAACAAAATTGCCCAATCGAAAATGACAACTGCTAATTGTTATGTATTCAGTTTTATTATAACTCAACATTCAGGGATGGAACTTTCTGTAGATATAGTATAGACACTGACAACAATTTTAGTAGAAGTCGCGCCTGAAAAGCTCACTTTATAAGATAGTTATAGGCAAAATACTATCGTCCGAAAAATTATGTGGAGCATTGTACGTCTCATAAAGGCTAAATCTTGAACGAGATAGATTGAAAAAAACCACCATTTTAGTC